GTGTTCTGCGAACTTTCATCACTTTCTCACATAATTGAAACTCAACTTTGAGACGACAGCTACGATGATAATAATGACAAGTGTTGATGACATTTTTTATGAGAAAATAATGTCCACAAGGTTTATTTACGTTTATAATGATACATAAATTATACCATACATTCCAAATTACATGTTTGAGAGAACATCAGATCTGCATTAAAAAAATTAAAAAAAAAAAAAAGAATAATAACAATCTAGAAATGGAAACATTAAGAAGCAAAGGAAGACCTAGAAGAATATGAAATGACGGACTCACTCACAGCCTAAGATTTCATAACATCATAGCATACCAAACAACCGAACACACCCTGACACTGTTACCGATCGTTTCTCAAACTGCGACGGATTGCTGCCCAAAGGAGATATCCCCAAATAAAGAATACTCGTATATATACTGAACCTCGGGATACGAATGTACCTAAATACGAGTTTTTCACTATACAAGGTCAGGCTCGCTCCTTTTTTAGGACGAGGCGAAATCGAGGATGCGAGCTGGAGAGACGAGAACTTAGATTTTGTCTGACAACATCTAGAAAACTTTTAAATAGATTAGGTCCCGCTAACATTGCCGAAGAAAGACCTAAGCCAGACGACAAGGCACTTGATGAGGATATACTGTGGTATCATGATCGGAAATGAAACTTCTTTTTTTCTGCAACTGAAAAAAACCCACAACTGTGCCACCAGGTTGCCAGATTTAAAAAAACTTCATTTTATGCCAAAACATTACCTAAAATATGCCAGAAAATGCCAAATAAAGTGTAACATTGTACTCACTTCACATCAAAAGCTCTAGATCGAATTCTTCACTGTCATCCTCACTAGAACCAGTGAAAGATACAGCGTAAACCTTTTTGGATGTACAATCTGTAAGCATTTTCTCAGATGGGACGAAGTATTTGCAACTCATCTATAATGTTGACAGATTTCTTGTTCCGAAAATAATAATCTATAAATTCATCCTTAAGTGCAGGCGATATAATATTTTTAATTAGGCATACACATTTAGTTATATGCAACAGTTTGTGTTCAAATGTTCTCCCCCGACCATGCGCTCTCATGATTTCACTTAGACGATCAATTGTGCGTATTTCACAAGGCAGGTCATGCCTACAGCAAGTTGCAACTCCGATGCTTTTAACTTTATCATTATTTTGCCTAGCAGTCATTGTTGCATTAAGCTGTGGCTGGCTTTTTGACGGAGTTTTCATCCTGTGGTTTTGTGTGTGTGTGGATTTTTCATGATTTTATATGCTACTAATTCTTGGTGCAACAGTGCACTGACACAATTTGCAATATACTGTCCCTGATCCGTCTGAATATCTTTTGAGCAATGGGTATGTTTTCTTCCAGTTACTATTATATACGCGATGTCATAAGATGCTTTCCATTTATTTGGATGACATGGTCATTGGTAGAAGTAATAAAATCGATCACAGATAGAACGAGGTCTATATCCTCTCTATTTTCTGTCCTCAAGTAGTTTCTTAACTATATGAACCACCTAGTATCAGTTTTGGGTTTTGGTTTTATATCCCGCATTTATTCTAGTAGATTAACATAAATTACAGAGGGCCTTGGTTTATCGAAGTCACGATCTGTTTAGGAAGACAGCAAATAGAATAAGAATGTGCGAGAATCTCCATTAGTCCGTACCAGGACATCACAATAAAGTCAAACTGAAATAAAGTCAAACTGAAATAAAGATGTTACCTGTAGGTCTACATTGCTTTTAGTAAATCTGCGTGTTTCTAACAGAGGAACCATGAAAAAAAATGTGAGCACATCTTGATAAGAAAAGCCAGCAAAAACCCAAATGTGCCAAAATAGGCCAGTTAGTTAGTTAGTTAGTTAGTTAGTTAGTTAGTTAGTTAGTTAGTTAGTTAGTTAGTTAGTTAGTTAGTTAGTTAGTTAGTTAGTTAGTTAGATAGATAGTTAGATAATTAGTTAGTTAAGTCAAGAATTGACATCACAGCACTCGGGGCATTCCCATGTGTGATCTGTCTTCAGCAACCAGCGTAGAGTTCCATTACTGAAGGGTCTGGTCACCATCTGGTTATAGGTCTGTCTCGCCTTTCCTCTGAGTGTAGCGAGTCGGCCAAACCCTCTGGTTACACTCATGTGCCTCATTCTCTCCAGGCCGTAAAAATCTTGTTTCTCTACTGATTCCGTTACTTGTTCCCAAAGCGCCTTGACAACATCTGCCCTGTCATGCATCAGTTCACCACCCAGTGGTGCGGATCCAGCCAAAATGTCTGCCTGTTCATTACTCACCACGCCGGCATGACCAGGAGAAAAGATCCAAAGTATGCTCACTACCCGTGATCTTTCCAGGGAAGCTTGCCACTCTGCTCGAAGCATCCATGTCTTCACCTTTCTCAGCATACTTTCACAGTCTGTCACAATTACTACATGTGTATGCATTTTGTTCTCTATCCAACGGAGAGCTGCAGTTACCGCCTCCACCTCCATTCTCATGCTCGACGTTGTGGTGTCGTATGCTAGACTGTCTTGCACTAAAAAATTTCCGTCTTTCGCCACTAACCCCCAGGCACTTCTCTTTCCTCTCAACACCGAACCATCTGTATAGATAATCAGATCACCTGGGCCTGAATTTTCGTGAATCAACTGTTGGACTTCATCCTCCGTAGCACCCGTTGGCCATTCTCTGCACTCCCGACCCAATGTGATAATAACCCTACACAGGTCAGACTTGTTCTCTGATACTCTTACACACTCCTCTCCTCGCACAATGTTCTCCAGCATGCATAATTGTCTTATTGTGTCTTCTGCTTCAGCCATCCATGATTTTCGTTTTTTTAGCCTCTGATCCTTACCTGCAGCTAAAGCTTCAAAAAGAGGGTGTTCTTTGTCTGCAGCTACTCTGAGGTATGACATAGCCAGTAGCTCCTTTAGTCTTTCTGCAATAGTCGGCAGTGCAAGGATGTATCACATACACACAATCAGGATGTCTCTTGTACAACCTAGGATCACCCGCATAGCTTCATTTTGTAAACGCTCCAGTTTCTCTAGCTGACTCTTCGAGGCAATGAGTAACCCCAATCCCTAATTAATTACTGAGATGACTAAGTGCTGGTAAAGTGTGAACAGCATTCTCTGCTCCATGTCTATCGCTGCCATAATCTTTAGTGCATTAAGACCTTTTTGAGCCCTTGTCACCACCAAAGACAAACTTCTGTCAAAGGGAAATTCCCAGGTATCGCAGTCTGCTGTCTCATTTGATGTCCCAGTCATGTGTGTTGGGAAATGAACATCGGACAGACTGGCCGGCTCTGCACAACTTGGTGGAATACTGCTACATGATAGGGCAGACGTGGTTAGTGCCTTGTGGGAGAGCGTGTACAATGCGGAAGAGCAGATGGATCACCACAGTTTGGTGAGATTGATGCAGTTGGGGGTGACGAGAAGTTCTGGCAGAAGCTCAAGGCTCAGAGGAAAGGCAAGACGGACGTTTAATCAGAAAGCTACTGACACCATTAGTATTGGAACTCTTCGCTGGCTGCTGAAGATGGGGACGGAGCGCTTATGGGAATGCCCCGAGTGCTGTGATGTCGGTTCTTGAATCAAATCAAATCAAATCAATCATGTCCCTGTCATCTATTTTGAGGCTTAAAACATCAGCTCTAAGAATCCTGTTGACCAAAGAACGCCACAGTACGGTTGCCTTTTCTGGGTTAATTATAGCACTCATCTTCGCACACAAGTCAGTCACCTTATTTAATGTCGCCTGTAATTCTTGAGCTAATTCCACTTCCCTTCCAATATAAGAGAACATCATCTGCAAATGTCAGTATCCTGCCGACTCCGTGTGTTTTCAGGTCCGCAATCTTGCTCGTAAAAACGTTGAAAAGTACAGGGGAAATTGCAGATCCCTTTGGTAGTCCTAGAGCTATAATACATGGTTCAGAGGTCCTTGAACCCATGCAGAGAGCTACCCGACGAGTATACAGAACAGCTGCTATCGAGTTAACCAACCAAAGACACTCTGTTGTAAGCATCTTCTAAATCAAGTGCCGCTGCAACTGTTTCCTGTCTGTTCTGGAAACCTTCGAAGGCGTCAAAGGCAAAGTTGTCTGCATTTGACCATGTGTCCTTCCCTGGCCAGTAACTTCCTAAACCTCGTGGAAAGAGATTTCTCTGTTCCAAAAATGCTTGTAGCTTACCCGCCACTATCTTCTCCAGCACTTTACAAACGTGTTTTGTAGGATTATGATCCTAAAGCCACTGAGTGTTGAATGATCCTTGCCAGGCTTAGGAAGTTGAATAAGATAGATGTGCATCCACTCTTGTGGGACTGAAGCTGTCCTAATGCTCTGATTAAAACAAGCAGTCATCTCCCTCAGGTCTGCAACGCCCATGTCTTTCATGTGGAAATATTTAACCACGTCAGGCCCGGGTGCAGTGTCTTTCGCCTTTTTAAAAACACGTTTCACAATTTGCACCTGTATGTCTACATAATGTTTGTTCTTTAATATGGCTATCAGATCTTCCCTAACTCGGTCTTTTTTATCTCCATCATTGTGGTCTATCTGTGAAATCAACCTCTTCAGTAAAGTCTCCGCCTTCTCTTTGTCTGTGGTTAAAAGCATACCGTCATATGTATGAATTGTTCCCACTACCTTGGGCTGATCTTTCTTGAGCTTTTGCCTATGCAACCTCCAAAACTTGTCTCTCCCCTTCCCCCCCCCCCCCCCCCCCCCAATCGCAGCAATGAAATGCTCTCATTTTTTTTCCTCTGCCGCACAGTGCTTGAAAAACTCTATCCTATCTTTCTTGTCCCTTTCTGCGCACTTCAATTCTTCCTGTGAGCATAGGGCTGTCTTTAAACGCTTAACTGTAGCTCTCTTCAACTTCCATGCCTGTTCAACCTCTGATGTCCACCATGGAGGTTGCACAAACATAGATTTACCGGTTACCTTACATGCTCTCTGTCGGAG